CAACAATCCTTGTTGTCCAGGATAGCGGAAGCAAGCCGAAAAGCGGATGGCAACAACTAGAAGATAGGAAAACTATAGGGAAACAACAGCAGGAGGCTGTGCAACAAGGGAGGGAGGTTGGTAGTGATGTGGGGAGAATGCGGAAGGGAATAGAGAAGATAATCACATCAGGAGTGAGATACATCCGGAGCACCGCCTAAACTCTTGGATACAGCCCTCGCAGAGAAAATCGACACTGGCAGCTATCTCAAACAAAACTCACGATAAAAAAAACTCACTTCCATACTCTAATACAAGACATATGAAGGAAAATACTAGAAAAGAAGGATTAAAGAAAACATGTTGAAAACTGAAAGAAAATAAAAAAAGAAGCCACTCTGATCGATTAAAAGCTATTTGCGCTACCCACCTGTCACATCTAGGTCAAGGGAGTATTGCATGTCGAGTGCGAGCCCACCTCTGCTTTGGACATCCCGCATCAGTGCGAGAGGAACAACCGCGTCAAGACACTAGTGGAAAAGGGTATATATCAAAGACTGGTAGGTAAGCTTATTTACCTATCACAAAATATACTTGATATTACTTACTCTATTGACATTGTAAGTCAACAAATGAATAATTTGAATGAAAAATATTGAGGTTTCTTAAGAAGACTCCTGATAGAAGGTTATTGTTTAAGAAATCAGACAACAGGGAGGTAGAGGTTTATAATGATGCTAGTTGGGTAGGATAACTCACAAATAGAAAGTCCACTTATAACTATTGTTCCTAGGTCTAGAAAAGCATTATCACTTAGAAGCAAGTTGCAGTCTCGAGAAGTAGTGTAGAATTTGAGTATAATGCACTAGTTTTGGGAGTTTATGAAATAATGTGGATCCAAATGTTACTAAATGAGTTGGGAAAATCCACTGTTAGTCCCATCAACATGTTTTGTAACAACCAAGCAACAATTAGTATTGCAAAAAACCCTGTGCACAATGACAAGACCAAACATATTGAGATTGACAGACATTTTATGTCTTAAAAGGTTAATAGACACATTATTCACTTAATCTACATTCTCACTCATCTTCAAATCGCTGATGTCTTCACTAAATCTCTACCTCTAGGTAGCTTCACTAATTTGAAGACTAAGTTGGGCCTTTACAACATCTATGACCAAGCTTGAGAGGGAGTATGAAATTTTGAGTTTCCTATTTTAGTTTTATTCACTTTTATTCCTTCTTATTAAGTCACATTTCTTTCTTTTTTAATATATTTTTTTCTTTGTTATGTTGTAATTGTTGTGAATAATAATAAGAAAACGTTTCATTTTTACCATCGCATTAGTAAAAGAGAAATTGAGGAGGCTTTAAAGAAAACCAAGGGAGGAAAGTTTGTAGGACCTGATGATATCCCAATTGAAGTGTGAAAATATTTGGGAGATTTGGGAGTTTCATGGCTTACAAAACTCTTTAATATTATTTTAAAAACTAAAAAGATGCCTAAGGAGTGGAGGAAGAGTATTTTGGTCCCCATTTTTAAGAATAAAGGGGATGCACAAGAGTGTGCAAACTATAGAGGGATTAAGTTGATGTGTCATACTTTAAAGTTATGGGAGAGGGTAATTGAACATAGGTTAAGACGCATCACAAAAATTTCTCATAATCAATTTAGATTTTATGTCGGACAGGTCTACAATGGAAGCTATACATTTATTGAGAGGTTTGATGGAGAAGTTCAAGGAAAATAAGGAGAATCTACATTTGATTTTTATTGATTTAGAAAAAGCTTACGATAAGATTCCAAGAGATATCCTTTGGAGAGTTCTCGAGAAGAAAGGTGTTGATATGACTTATATTCAAGTCATTAAAGATATGTATACTAGAGCTGTTGCTTGTTCAAACTGAAAAGGAGGATTGATCAACTATTTCCCTATTTCTGTTAGATTACATCAGGGATCAGCTTTAAACCCATATCTTTTTGCTTTAATTATGGATGGTCTTACTGGACACTTACAGGAGGATGTACCTTTGTGTATGTTATTTGCTAACAATTTCCTTCTCGTGGATAAGATGAGAGAAAAAGC